ATTTAAAAAGTTATGTCTCTTCTGTATAAATATAAATATCTATTGGACATTACACAGGAATATTTAATTTTTATAATGGCATTTGCTTTAGAGTTGAAACGCTATGAACTGCATTCTTTTGAATTTCCCATGTGGCCTAAAACTAACAGATTATTGGCAAATACCTTTTAAAAAATTAAAATGGAAAAACTGAGCCCATATATTAGATTTCCAAAGGCAAGAAGAGTATATTGTGTTCTGTGTATATTATGTAAAAGTAATTGTAATTTTTTTCAATATCTGATATTACCATTCTGCAAAGTATTTTTTTAAAATTACTTAGGCCATCAGATCAAAGAATTTAATCACCATGCCAGCTTAAAATAAAGAGAAAAGAAAAACATATTTTCTCCATTTTCTCTGCTACGTGGACACACTATTTAGGGAAATAGCATTGATGCCTGACTCCTGGTCTTATCACCACAGAAATCACAGCTGTAGTGACATTGTGACGAAGATAATATCAATTAAGTATATACCAGCAAGTTTAAGACACAGTAGATGCTCAATAATATTAGTTCCTTTCCTTAATTAAAAAAATGTAATATATTCCAATCCCCTTTGTTAAGCAATTTATGTACATTTGGGTATGTGTTTTTATGCACCTACACGTGTGCTTGTGTGATTTGGGTTTGGGTAACTCTGGTGCTCTACCTATATGACTAGAATAATATTTAATCCAGGATGAAGAGGCAGTTAACATAGCTAGCTTAGTGTCATGCAGATAGACTTCTAGGATATTTCCTGTAAATATTTGCTTGCATTTGGTTACTGAGACAGTGACAGGGTAAGAATGTCTTCCTGGAGTAGAGGAAGCCAATTTTCACAAAAGCGTGTTCTAGAATGGGGTTCTGGATGGCAGAATCTCCATGAAGCAGCACTTTACAATAGAAGTTTCCAAAACAGAGTGATGTATTCTTCATTAACAAGGTGGGAAAGAATAATGATCATTAGCAATTAGGTTCCAGGAAAAAATTCCATAAAATAGGGATATAGGCTGGAGAGGGAAAATGCCAGCCTATGGGGCATTTAAAGGTTTGAGTACTTTTTGATGCAGTTATTAAAGGTCATTAATCACTGAACCATCACCAACAGCAATTTGTACCCTTGGAGATGCCGATTGACCAAATTTCAGTAGGTGAGTTACGTGAAAGGGATTTAAGTACCATCTGACAAATATCCTGGGCACGTTCACATTCACACCTATCAAATAATCACTGGAATAGCAAGTCCAAGCCATAAATATTAATATAAAGATGAGATACTAGATAATATGATGAAATCAGTTTTAATTCTACTGAAAATAAAGCCAACAGAATTTTGCGTTGCTTTGATTTAGAATCTGTGAACAAAATATCACCAGCATTTGGGGAAAAAAAAGAACCTACAAATGACAAGCAGGCAGGAAGGAAAGACAATTGCAGACAAGTTAAAATCCGTAGATTACAATTGTTAGTGGGAACTCTTCATCTGGAAGTGTGACAGATTTTGGCTGACTTAGAATAACAACTCAACCTTTGAGAGTGTTTCAGACTTTTAAGCTAGATTCAGCTAGAAGGATTTGCTTGACATGTCTCAGTAGTTTACACATAAGAATGTTCAAAAAGGACATTCTCCTTAGAGTTTCAGAGAAAAAGCAAAACCTTATTATTAATATATAAATACCTGGTCTGGTCTTGGCTATACACAGTGACTTAATCTGGATATTTCTCTTGTCCCATTCATCATTTAGGAGGCTCAAAGAGTTGATAAGAGCTGGATTTATCTCAAAATCAAATCTACATGTCTTTTAAATTCATAATTTTGGATATTTTGAGGTTTATTTTACATTACAGTTGAACGACCACTACTTTGTAAGGTACAAAAATCATCTCAGAATTTTAGAAACACAATGACTTTTTTAG